CTGGAATAGTAAAGTTTTACTTATTTCTAATTAGCCAGGATATAACTATATTACATATTTAATGAATTTTGATTCATAAATTATTTTTTGCATTTATTTGGTTTTATAGGCCTTTGCTTTAATTTCATTTTGTTAAAAGAATAAAATTATATTAATGTCAATTTATTATTTATAAATATAAATTACTAATGAAACCATGTTATTTTTTACTTTTCATTCTTACATTTCTACTCTTCAGGCTGAAATATTTTATTAAATTTTATTTTTCATATTTTCATATTTTTCATAATTTATTTTATTATATATGTATATATTTGACCAAATATAATCTAACATAGAAGGCAGTTTTATTTTTAATACTGCATAATTCAGCATTGCGCACTAATATAGAAAAATCTGCCTATATTTATTTAAATTTATTTATTTATTTATTTTTTTTTTTATAAAGAGCAAAAAAAAAATAATTTATTTTTATAACTTTTCAAGATAATTTTGAAAATTTCGATAGATTTCAATAGTTAAGTTGGCCACATAAGTTTTATTTAAATTTATCATTATCAATAAATTTTTTTGTTTGTAATTTCTTTCAGGTTAGGTTGCAAGTTAAAGTTTTTTTATTAATTTATTATTATTATCATTATTATTATTAGATTGCTTTAGAGCACAGCGACTATTAATATTTCAAATTTTGCACTATTAAGGTTCTTCTTTGAGTTAATTATTTCAAATGTTTGGACAGTAGGTTATGATATTAGAATCCTAAGTTACTTTTAGTAATTTTATTTTTTTTCAAAGAAATTTTATTTAAGGTTTCTACAATGAGACTATTAAAACCAAGTTATGACTTTTATTTACCAAATTTAGGTTAAGAGAAATTTAACGTATTCTTTAACTGTATAACTACCAAAACTCAACACATCGCTAATTCTTCTTTTACCAACAAAAAAATTTAATATTCATTTCTTAGCATTATCAGAATCACAAATTTAAAATGCTTTACTTTTCTAAACAAAAAAAATTCTTTTAAACAAAAATGAATTCTTTTTAATTTTTAAACTGATCATTAAATTTCAAGATGTAAAACTTTTGTTGATATATTGAGAATTCTTTGCTTTAAACGTTAAAAGAATTTAATCAATAAATACTTACATAATGACGTAATAAAAAATCTAACCAACTTTTCTCTATAAACTTTTCACATAGCTTTTTAAAATCCCATTTCCACTTTTCGCTTAAATTCGTTTATCGTTAGACCAAAGTCAACAAACGTTCTAAATATGGAGATATTATTTGAGATATTCATAAAGCCTGTCTCATTTTTTGTAAAAAAAAAAAAAAAATAATAATTTGTTTGCAGATATTATTTATGTTAGAAAGAATTTAACGAAACAGGCTTTAAAGACTATTACCAATGCGTTTATTCTTTTGTTTTCTTTAAATAACAAACATTCACTTAAATTTTATTTATTAATAATACCTGTTGTTAACCTGGAATTGAACCGAAACCAGATGATTTAAATCTAACTAAGTCCCGTCCTAAGAAATATTTATGCAACAATTTTACGATTCTTTTGTGTAGTTGGTTATTACAGTCAAGTCTGTATGGAGATACGATAAAGGTTTGAAAAGGTAAGGATAGAAATTAAATTCAATAATAAGAAAGTCTCTTCTCAAGAACCATCAACCATACATTTTTCAATCAAGCCAGATTTTTGAAGTTTTTATACAAAAATTCTAAATTCTTTACTATATAAGATAGTAAATAATAAATAAAAGAATTATAGCAAAAATAACAATAAAGTAAAAATAATAATCTAAAAACTATGTATAATAAAAAATATAAAATATAATTTCTAGCATACATATTTAATATATACTAGGTCCTGCAAAAGGAATTATTGGTGAGCGGACAGAGAAACACACGTGACCAAAATTTTTACATTGCGTAGTGCTCAGGACAATTAGTTAATACAAATTTTTTTTTGTTATTAAAGGTTGCAATTTAGTAAAATGTAATCATAGTTGTTGAGTTAATCATAAGTCTATTACAAATAAGGCGCAGTAAATTCTTTGTCAATCCTTTTACTAAATGAAAGTCCAATTCCAATTTCTTACACGGCAGTATGTAGTTTAGATAATAAATAAATCATCAAAATTATCTGTCAATGCTTCTCGTCACGAAATGATTTACAATTTTATTTTATGACGCTTCTTCACGGCATCATTATCCTAATTTATAATAAATAAATTGATTTACATATGGTAACTTTACTTTATTTCGTTCATCATTTCCGAATTTTATAGAATTGCTGTAAGATTTCCCATAAGTTCCTTGTGAATTTCAGAGTAAACTTTATTAGGTAAGACTGAATTGATCGGGTCGGGTTAGTTCCTTTTAAATTATCCGAGCAAACTAGACTATTTATGGAAAAATAACAGTTGGAAAAATTATAAACCGAGGGTTGAGTTTTCTTTCTGCAATAAACTCATTGAAATATTAAAATATCATCTGAACAATTTAAAATAAAAAAATAGTCAAAAAAAAAATGATTTTAAAAAACAATATAGTAAAATCCTTAAAAGACTTTGAAATGAGAATTAAGGAATTAGAGCAAAGTAACGAAGAGTTACGTTCACAAGTAAAATATTTAGAAGAAAAGATTGGAAAGCGAGAAGAAGAAACAAAAGCAAATATTAAAATTTTGGAAGAAAATGTTAGACAACGAGAAGAAGAAACCAAAACCAATTTTTATAATTTAGAAGAAAGGGTTAGAGAACGAGAAGAAGAAATCAAAGCCAATATTAATAATTTAGAAAAATGGACTAGAGAACAAGCAATTAATGAATTAGAAAAGAGAACCAGAAGTCTTGAATTAATTATTTATGATGATACTATTGAAAGTATGACCATTACAAATACTAATAAGGATGACATATTGAACACCTTTGGCGGTTTGCAAAGATATCAGAAATTGACAAAACTCAATTGTAACAATTCTCAAATAACAAGCTTACCAACATTACCTAACTCCTTAACGGAACTCCATTGCTATAAAACTAAAATTACAAGCTTACCAACATTACCCAATTCCTTAACGGTACCCAACTGTTATAATATTAAATTAAATAGCTTACCAAATTTACCCGATTCTATAACGGAACTTGATTGCTCTTATACTCCAATAACTATCCTACCAACATTACCTAACTCCTTAACAGTACTCTATTGCTCAACAACTCAAATAACAAGCTTACAACATTACCCAACTCCTTAACGGAACTTGATTGCTCTTTTACTAAAATATCTAGCCTACCAACATTACCAAACTCCTTAACGAAACTCCATTGCTACAAAACTCAAATAAAAATCTTACCAAATTTACCCAATTCCTTAACGAATATCTCCCCTTTATATTTAAAAAATCAACATTTGGGTGTTAATCGAACATCGTATTTTGATTTTTGAGATTTTCGAACATATTATTGATCGGTCTATTGATCGATTTCGTAATCGATTTTAAATTTATCGATCATTGATTGATTTTTGTGAAAAATTACAATAAGCTAGTTTTTATTACAAATACTTAATCAAATTTAACAATTAATATTCCTATATTTTATAAATATACATTTATACAAAAGGATCTTATTTAAATATTATAAATTAAGATTTTGATACTCCAAAATGCATCTACAAACAAAGTAACTTTTAATGTAAAATATCAAGATTTTTTTTATACAAAATATAACGATAACAGTATAATCGATCAAACATAGAAAATTTATTCGATTATAATCAAAGTTAGTACAATTTTGATCGATCTGTGATCGAAAAATTGATTGACTCAATCAATCATCGATCCTACTTATTATAATAAAATTAGAAGGCCCGAGGTGTAATTTAACGACTAGAAATCACTATTGCTACGACCTGAAGCGATTGGACCTGGAATATATATTTATGAAGAATAACATAATAAGCCAAAAGCAAGAAATAAAATAAAGAAAAAGGAAATATAGAGTCAAATGAGAAAGCCTCACCCATTAATTTATCATTGCGATCGAACCCAAAAAATAGACGTAATGACTAAAAAATAAAACTGAATGAAAAATAAAAAACCATACCTTATAATACTGATTCATCGGTGTTTTAAGATCAATTATTTTATTCAAATTAAATACTTTTGCTTTATATCCAAAGGTATATTAAATTAAATTTGTAAACCATCATATACATTTAATAAAGTAAATACACGTATGTTCATCCAGTTCCAATTACGCAAATAATACCAAAAATGTTAATGAATTACATCGATATAAATTATATGATAACAAAACATAAAATGAAATGATTACATTAAAGATCGAGAAGTTTGTTATTTTTTTTTCGTCACAATTGGTAGGACATTAATAAATTTTATATAGCTATTTTAGTATAGATACAGCAATTAACATTCGAGCGTAATTACCAACAATATTTGGGGACCTAGATTAAATCGTTCAAAAATATATAACAAAAAATCAAACTCTGATGTATATTTTATGATGGCACACATTTCGCTATTCTTCTGATTAATAATCAAGTTAAGCATTACGATCAGAATACTTAGATGACACTGATTGAATATATAATGAAAGAAAAAATTAAGGCCCTTCTCTTGTGAATAATTGAAAATGTTTCTGTTTTTGAAATAATAATCAAGGAATTCTAACAAGACTAAGAGAAATAATTACAAAGCCTGTTACTTATACAGCAGCTTGAGAGAATAACAATTGCTGTCTGTTGAAATGAGAACTATTACCCCCTACTTATTGGAAAATTATATGATTAACTCTGGGTAACCATATCGATATGGTTTTCTTCTTTTTTGAAATAAGGTATTCTTCATTACAATGTATTATATCCAAAAATTGTCGTTCATCTTTCAATATATTAATACTGATATATATATTACAAAAGCAAGACAGAAATAATAAAATCGTAAAAAATTAGAATCATGATGACAACCTGCATAAATGTACCAACACCGAAGCTTTCTTCAGAATCAGTAGAGAAGCTTGTGTTAGTTCACCAGATGTCCTCAGACACTGGTAACTCTTCGGAGATGAATACAACGTGAAGTGCAAGAACTATTAATAGACCCCTAACAGGCTTTGTTGGAATTGCAATCACCTCTTTCTCTTATTTATTGCTAGAGATTGGAACAGGTTAAAGAATATTTTAACTAACCGTTAAGGAACTTCACACACACATTTCCTTCCTATAATTTTGGGTCATTTTCATCATCTTTTAACGCCTTATAAATGACGATGTGAACATTCTTCTTCCTCGTAATTTCGTAATATTTGCTGAAAATGTTGAAGCGACAATACCCTCGTTGGAAAAATTCAAAGTACTTTCTGTAAGGGAATAAATGACTGTGATTGAAGTAAAATTGTGTGAAAAATATTTAATCAATCCAAATAGGTTAAGACGAGATGAGATAAAAAAATATTTTTACTATGTACGAGGAGAGCATTCTTGGAAGGAGCTAAACAAAAGAGATTTGGTATTTCGGGTCAAGAAAATCTCGCGCCTTTTTTTCCTTTTCTGATCGAATCATTTGCGCTAATATAGATTTTTTTTTTTTTTGATTGTTGTTTGGTTTCGTGTATTGTGTCAAATACGAGTTAAATAAGAAATATAAAAAATTCTTTGGTGAGCGACTAATTTTTTTAAAAAAAAAATGCACGCAGTCAAATATTTAATTTCTTGTCTTTTTTCTTTGGAATTTGCGCCTTTTTATGTAGGTTCGTTCTACTTTCTGGTTGGAACACTTCTGCAAGTAATAGGTAATATTATTTTGGTTTTGGATGATTTTTTTTCGCCTTTAAAAATTTCAGAAGATGGATTGGTAGGTTTTTTCTTCTTTATTTTTTTTGAAAATTGATTGTTCTTTTTTGGAGGACCAGTTCGATCTGCTGCGGCATATTTTACTTTATTTTTTTTTTTTTTTTTTTTAGGTAATTATTATTATAAAGAAAACGCAGTAAATTCTTTGTGTCAATGTTTCCAATTCGAAATTATTCAACTCTTTCACGGCAGTATATTGATAGAAACTGATTTAAATTATAATTCGTCACAAAGAAAATTATCAACGCCTCTAGTCCGAAATTATATTAATGACACATCATTTTATAATAAATGTTGGAAACGGGTTCTTACGAAAATCGGGATGATCTTCGTTATTTACATAATGGTTTTTTTGCAATTTTCGTAAATTCACTTTATTGTATTCATTTATTTTCGTTCTTTTGAAGTATTCGTAGAATTTTTTTGTAAGATGAAATTTACCTCAATAAAATTTTTTTTTGCGAATTTCAAAAAATCGTATATATGTAATAATAAGCTAAAACTCTATTTATTTTCGATAATTACCAATTTTAGAAAGCAGTTAACTTGATTTGGTAAGAAAGAAGCGAGCTATCTGAGGCAGCAAAAGTATTGATAGGTCAGAGGTATACTTCTTGATAGCGATCGCTGTGAAACACTAAATATGCATCTTTCTTGATAGATTAAAGTGTAACAGAATTTTAGTAGATTAAAGCGTAAATCTTTAACAATTTTCATAAATTATTTCATAAAAATTTTCCAATAAGTTATAAAATGTATACGTCTGTCTACTAATAAAGGATGATTTGCTAATTACCATTCTGCAGCCCGATCGAATAGCACATTTTCTATATCGAAAACAATTTTGCAGTTTATTAAAACTTTATACAAGTAAAAAAAAGTGAAAACAATGTAATGTCACGAAACGAAATGTTTAAATAATATCATATACGCTTTATCAAGAAATATACTACATTTTGTGTTCCACTTTGATATATTTAAGTTTCACAGCGATCGCTATCAAAAAGTATATCTCCGATCTGTCCAAACAAACTAGACTATTTATGGAAAAATTATAGATGGAAAAAATATAAACCGAGGGCTGAGCAAAGAGCATTTTTTATTGGTAATTTTTTATGCAAGAAAAGCAATAAAAACATTGAAACCATCATTAATTAAAAAATCCAGAAAAAAAAAATGATTTTAAGGAACAATTTTTATAAAACGTTAAGAGACTTAGAAACGAGAATTAAGGAATTAGAGCAAAGTTACGACGGGTTACGTTCACAATTCAAATATTTAGAAGAAAAGGTTGGAGAGCGGGAAGAAGAAACCAAGGCCAATATTAATAATTTCGAAGAAAAGAACAGAGAACGAGAAGAAGATACCGAAACCAATATTAATCATGCAGAAGAAAAGAATAGTGAAGAAGCCAAAGCAAAACAAGAAATTATTAATAATTTCGAAGAAAAGATTAGAGAACGTGAAGAAAAGCAAGAAATTATTAATGAATTAGAAAAGAGAATCAGAAATTTTGAATTAATTATTTATGATGATGGTATTGAAAGTATAACCATTACAGATACTAATAGGGATGACATATTGAACACCTTTGGCGGTTTGCAAAGATATCGAAAATTGACAAAACTCAATTGTAACTATTCTCAGATATCAAAAATACCAACTTTACCTAACTCCTTAACGGAATTCCGTTGCTATATAACTCAAATAACAAGCTTACCAACATTACCAAGCTCCTTATCATTTCTTAATTGCTCTTTAAATCAAATAACAAGCTTACCAACATTGCCAAACTCCTTAACGGAACTCATTTGCTATGATACTCAAATTACAAGATTACCAACATTACCTAACTCGTTAGCGAAACTCCATTGCCATATTAATCAAATAACAAGATTACCAACATTTCCTAACTCCTTATCTTATCTTGACTGTTCTGAAACTGAAATAACAAGCTTACCAACATTACCTACCTCCTTAACAAACCTCTATTGCCATGAAACTCAAATAACAAGCTTACCATCATTACCAACCTCCTTAAAGGAACTCGTTTGCTATATAACTCAAATAACAAGCTTACCAACATTACCAAACTCCTTAACGGAACTCGACTGCTCAAAAACTCAAATCACAAGCTTGCCAACATTACCAAATTCTTTAACAGTACTCTGGTGTTTCGGAACTCAAATAACAAGCTTACCAACATTACCAAGCTCCTTAGCATTTCTTAATTGCTCTAATACTCAAATAACAAGCTTACCAACATTACCTACCTCCTTAACAAACCTCTATTGCAATGAAACTCAAATTACAAGCTTACCAACATTACCAAGCTCCTTAGAGAAACTCGACTGCTCAAAAACTCAAATCACAAGCTTGTCAACGTTACCAAACTCCTTAACGGATCTCCGTTGCCGAGAAACTCAAATAACAAGCTTACCAAATTTACCCAATTCCTTAAGGATTATCTACCCTCCAAATTTAAAATTCCTTATTAATATTTAGCATTTTATCTGTTTATTTTAACTAAAAATTATCATTATCTTGATTCAAGCATTTATTTAATTAATCAATAAATATATTATATGGAAAAAAGAAATGTGGCGTAATACCGATGATTATTTTTAATTCATCTTAGTAATGCTTATCAATATAAGAGAAAAAGTCTAAAAAAGTCAATTTGAAAAGGCCTATACAAAAGATTCAAAATCGTAAACTGTAAACTAATCCCTCCTTTCTTTTCTTTTTTTTATGCATTTATCTGTAAAGCAACTAAAAAAACTTGGAATCTCATCATACACCTTGCGTCGCTGACTAAAGGAAAAATTACTGCTATAAAGTCTCCTTCTAACGTTTATATCATCCAAGTTTACATTGCTCATCATTGATATCAGGTACAATGGAACTACAGTCGCCACTGGATATAACGAAATTATATAATAAATGCTATATACCGCAACCGAACCCATAAGAGCTAGCCCAAGTATAATAGTCCTATATTCGATATACCGAACGATCACGTGAATATTGTGATCTAAATTTTAAAATTAGATGATCATCGGGATTTTCAACCAAAAGAAATAGGGTTAAATATTACTGCTGCACAAAAACGTGAACTTTGTGAGAAAAAAGAAAAAGATCCGAACATTTCTAATACTAAGCTTACACAACAATATGATATTGGGAAGTTAACGGTTACAGATATATTAAATGAAAAGGAGCGTTGGCTTGCAGTTTCGGAGAGACAAGGAAGTGTTAAGAAGTTTCGTGGTCCAAAGTGGCCTCAACTTGAAGAAACACTTGCAACACGAAACAAGATATCAATGGTAATATATTGAAAATGAAGGCGAATTATTTTGCCAGACAATTATCTTTAATTCTTCAGAAGGATGGTTAGGTGGCTTTAAAAAACGACATGGCTTGCGTCAGTATAAAAAGCAGGGTGAGGCTGGAAGTGTACAATCCTGAGTCTATAGAAAGAGACCGTCTTATTCTACAACAACTTCTTGCATCTTACAATCCTGAAGATATCTGGAAATGGAGATGAGACCGGACTTTTTTGGAAAATGGAACCTTCTAGGGTTCTAGCGCGTGGACCTATTTTAGGACACAAAAAAGAAAAATTAGAGTTACAATATTTTGTGCAGTCAATGCATCTGGAACTGAAAAGATGAACCTTTAAATACAAAACCCTCGTGCAATAAAAAATATTAATATTAGAAATCTTCTGGCATACTATTTTTGGAATAAAAAGTCATGGATGAAATTAGCATCTTCAATGATATTCTTATTAAGCTCAATGAAATAATAAAAAAAAAATAGAAAAATTATTTTTTAGTTGATAACGCTTCTGTACACCTTAATTTAGACGAGACTCAAGAGAAATTAGATAGTATAGTTGTAAAATTTCTTCCACCAAATATCACAACAGCTTTAGCCATGCAATGCAGGTATTATCCATTCATTCAAGTGTCACTATAAACACCTTTTTATTCAAGATCAGATTCATGCATACAATGATCTGCAAAATAGCGTTGTAGAAGAAATTTCTAGTTATACTATCTATGATGCTTTGTTAAATACAGCTGAAGCATGGTCAATGGTCTTATCCTAAACAATTTTAAATTGTTGAAAAAAGATGGTATTCTTTTACCAAACGATGAAAATTATGAGGATTTTGATTCTAATAGGTATGTTATCATATATAAATATGAATTTTACCTTAATACACAAAATTTCTTATAAAATTATATTTTTTAGTTTTGATACTGAGGTTGATGAACTTAATATTTTAATTTTTCAACTTCCAAAAAGTGATATAAATGCACATGAGTTTATTCATA